TTAGTCGGAAAGCACGGGAGATCACTTCGCCCACTGCCTCATCGCCTTTGGAAATGTCCACCGCAGTTGTGGACGAAACGTCAGGAAGAAATTCCGATAGACCACGGCTTCAAAGCCCGGAAAACATTCCTAAATGTAAGTCTTCGTATCTTTGCCCGTTTAAAATGTCAGATGGCAGAAAATGTGGCCCGATTATTTGATCGTTTATTACATCACACCAAACATTAGCACTGAACCGTCTTTGGTGATTACGGTTCGACGTTAAACGGGGATTTTTCTCGGCCCAGTAATGAGCATTATGGTAGTTGGTAATCCCCTCTCGATTAAAATTTGATTCATTGGTCCACAAAATTCTACTGAGAAAAGTTGAGTCCTCCATATCAGCGTTTAACATAAATCGACAGAAGCCCGTTCTCCTTAAAGGATCTTCTTCAAACAAGTCTTGAACCGGAGTATAATGGTAGGCATGTAGTTTCTCTTTGTTCAATGTCGTCCGAAGTTTCCACTGTGAGATTATAAGACGCCTAACCGCAACGCGTACGCTTGTCGTCGGATCTTCTTGAAAAACTCTTAGAATGGCTTCTTCGACATTGGTGCGGTAACGTGCTGGAGCTCCTACGGGAATTTGCCTACCTTGTACTTTTCCTGACTCACTAACCCTTCGATAGGTGTTTGCAAAGGCACGGATATTTGAAAGCCGCCTGTTTGGAAATCGACGCTGATATTCGCGGCGCGCTTCAGCACTATTTCCGTCCATAAATGTAAAGAAAATCTGCGTATCCAGCATTGGAAATCTCAGCCATTTCAACAAATAACGTTTTCAACTTAATAATATGAAAAGAAGGTTACTAAAGTTACTCAGACACTCGAAATGACAGCAATATTACTTTTGTCGATCAGTGACAAAAAGTAGTGCAGAGCCAACTTTTTAATAAAAACACGATTACGCTGTGCAATAAATCGATTTTAATTTGTTTACTCGCAAACGGGACGTCGTAGAAAAAAGTCAAGAGACCTTTTCTCTTCCAAATTGAACAGGAAACTGAAACTGAACTTGAAAAATATTATTTATTTTTAAAAAAATGAGTGGCGTAACATTTTTATATTTTAAATTATCTACAGATGTGCTTGTACCCACGCCACTGGAAAAGAGAGAAACAACATTTTTATAACAAAATGTGTATTGTTCTTAGTTGCCTAAGCCTGTGAAATTTCATTGGAATTCAACCGCTTGGAATAATATTTCAAGCGGTTTCCGAAATATTAATAAATAACATTTTTTTTATTAAAACTTTAACACTCTGTAGATCGGAAACTCATGGTTTTCGGAACCTGGTCTATTAACGATAATATAATGACTGTCGCCTGAGAGTATCCGTATTAAGCTGTTCCGAAATAATCATTCCCTACCTTAAAACGGTAGTGAGAAATGCTGCTTCCCATTCTCATGTGCTAAATTTTGGTGCGCCCCGGGTATTTAATTTATCCGGTGCCACCCATATCTGGGAGGCATTCCCCTATCCGCCACCTGGGGAGGCGTCCGATGGAGAATCCCACACGAAATGACATTTTCTGTTTACTCTCCGTGTAGGCTCCGATAACTTCTTAACAAGAATGCCGTCAATTTTGATTCACCCTGTAGTGTATTTTCGCTAGTGCTTACTGCTTACTGATAGTGGTTTTTAATATGCTATTTTTAACGTAACATATATCCTCATATCCATAACGTGACAAAGGACTATTTAAAATATTATCTTTTTTTGTAATCGGCAGGTCATTGATGGCATAATACTTCGGGAAAGTCCTAGGGACGTTTGGCTTCGTTCCAAAAAGCGTTCAGCGGAGGTAGATGCCGCAGTTAAAGTAGACCTAGTAATCGGTTCAACCGCTCAAGCCGGAAGTTCAGAGCTTTTGTTACTGAAAAATTTAAACTGGACGGAAGGGTTTGTCAGGCACCACGTTAAAGAGTCTTATATTGGTGTGCAAAACATGACTGAGCAAGTGCTGTCCAAATACCCAAAAACGTATCAAGGCCTTAGTGCCATGATAACCGATATTCGTATCGTTTGTCCTTTGTATGCCGTTTGGCGCGAAATGCACAATGTTCACTTTTACGTGGTGAATCAGACTAGAGGTGACCCTCGAATAGCAGATATCGATTCAGATATTGACGCTATTTTGGGCAGATACGAACCCAAAACACCAGAGCAAAGACGGTATTTTTCTGCAATGCAAGGGATGTTCTACCACTACGTTTGGCATGGCAAAGTGGACAACAAGTTTTGGACTAAAAACGTTTTAATCGTGGATCAGGATGTTTTGCCTCAACGTACTTATAACTATTGCGATTTCTGGATATTGAAAAACTTTGTATTGACTTTTGCAGCTATGGATTAGGGCAGTTTTCATATAAAATACACTGACACTGCCTTAATCGTTTTTTTTATATGTGAGTTTTATAGTATTCTTGCCTTGTCCTACGGAAGTATTAAATGCAGTGAGTTAGAATTATTTAAAAACATTATCTGGTAACTGATATTGTTATAACGCGTAAAACTTTGTTTGTAGTAGGCTTTCATTTTAAAAACTTAAGTGTGCTTTTCATTTGATCCGTTAACGCCTATTTAGATTCTACTTAGGGATAACTTTAATGCAGCACATGTATATAATACTCAGAAATATCGAGCCTAATGTTATGTAAAGGAAAGCTAGTTTCTTTCTCGCAGTAATATTGTGAAGATCTCAGAACCCATTTTTAAGATTATGATTGTGAGTTAACAATATTTTTTGAAGTTATAGAGCATCTATAACATTTTGTTACTTAAGCCTGAAGTCCGTTAAATTCAGAATGAGTGGAAGTTCTCTCCAATTCAACGATCGAAACAACGGTTGTTGTTTTAGTGTATTTATCTACTTCTATCATATAGTCAGCTTCAGTACGTGGTTTATATATTTCCCTATTAATCCTTTAATTACATACCTAAAAATGGGAATTTAAAAATAATTCTGCTGATGTTACAGCAATTATTCAACAAATATTGGGCGTGCTCCTCAGTTTACAAAATTTAAACCATTTAAAAAAATCTGACTTTTGAATCATTTTGCATCTGCTAACCACTATACTCAACTATACAATATCACAGATTTATACGTAAATGTGTAGCTTTCATATTGTGATTTATAGTATTAGGTGTCTCTTTCATAAAATCTCATTTATTTTCTTTTATGTTCTACTTAATTTTTTTTTTCAATAATTTAGTCATTATCTATAAGAAATTATTTGGATGTTGGGATTGGATGTGCCAAATTCTTTGCGAATTAGCTGGTAAGAAATCTGTTTTATTATAGAGAAGTGGGGCTAACTCCAATTCAACGCTGTCTTACTAAGGTATCTCAATAATAAAATTCATTTGAAAATAACGGGATCGAAAACAAATTATAACAACGTGTAAGATCCAAAATATAAGACTAAGATAAAAATATAAGATAAGTTGAGGGGCAAAGAATGAACAAAAATTAGTACAGGTATTGAACATGTTTATGCACGGGAGCAAGTTGTAAATTGCCAATTTTAGACAACGTGGTTGATTTTTAAGAACAGGGTTTACAGAGTAAAATATCGGTTTTACTTTCCAATGAGATTTTCTTAGTCGTTAAAGGAAATAACAATTTTTGGATACTTTTGCGGGTTGATATGTTGGGACTGGAAACATAATTTAAATTTGATGGTGTTGAACTTCAAAAAAATTAAAGTATTAGTTCTGATGGATACGTCCACTTTTACTCATGAAATATTGAATTATAAAATTAATAAATTCATAGTAATTTTAGTATACAGGGTTATCCATTTTATGCTTGGGAAAGTAAAGGAAAAAAAACGCAAAATATTCAGATGGAGACGAAAATTTTAATTCATAATAAAGATTAAAGGCAACTCCTACAGGCCTCAATCCTTTTGAGGTAATGTTGATGACTTTTCGGCACATTAGCGGTAATATATCGGTAATAACTTCACGGATATTGGCTTCAAGAGTTTGAGGATTGTTGGCGTAAACCCGATCTTTCGCATAGCCTCACAAAAAGAAATCTAACGGTGTTAAGCGCAGGATCTTGCTGGCCAATTGACATCACTCAATCTCGAAATTACGCGTCCTGGAAATTTCTCCTCTTGCAATAGGGCTCTAACTGCCAATGTTGTGTGACTCGTTGCCCCATCCGGCTGAAACCACATGTCTTCCAGATCATCATCTTCAATTTATCTCCAAAAATAATCGGCTAACATGCGTCCATACCGCTCAGAATTGACTGTTATAGCATTTCCTTGATCGTTTTCAAAACAAATACGGACCAATAACACCACCGGACCATAATGCACACCATACGGTCACTTTTTCAGAATACAAAGACCTTTCTGCGATCACTTGAGGATTTTGAGAGCCCCGTATATGGCTGTTCTGTTTATTCACGTAGCCACCGAGCGAAAAATGAGCCTCATCGCTGAAGAAAATTTGGTTCGAAAAATCATCATCAACGGCTTGTTCAATCACCCAATTTGCGAATGTTCTGGGTTGCCCATGGTCTTGAGGCTTAAGTTATTGAGTCAGTTGGACTTTGTACGGATGGAGCTTCCAATCCAATTGCAAAATTCGCCACCATAAGCCGTAAGACAAGCCCAAATGTTGAGCACGTCGGGGAATCGACGAATTCGGTTCTTCCTCAACACTTGAGCAACACCAGCGATATTTTCAGCTGAACGAATGTTCCGATGATGCACATGCCTTACAATATCAGCAACCGATCCAGTCTCTTCGAATTTTTCCATTGTGTTCAAAATTGTTTGCTCTGTGGGTCGATTATGTAGACCGTAATCTACTCGTAAAGCCCTAAACGTTGATACAGCAGAATCACCATTTTTATAGTAACATTTAATAATTTTTACGCGTTCTGCGACAGTTGAACGATCCATTTTCCAAAATTGCAAACCTTCAACTAAAACAAAAACGCTTCAGATGACGCTTACCTTTGTCAGATATCAAATAGCAAGGTTTTACTTTCCCAATTGGATAACCCGTTATAATGACCAATTATATTACAAGTGCACAAAATTCAGCCAAATCGCCTACTGTGTCCTCACATAATATTTTAATGTCTCGTGATCGAAGACCACTATATTCTTTAACGTTAAAGGTTAGTCAGATGTATCACAACGGATTAATATCTCAGACACTATTAATTAATCCTAAATTAATCAGCTTCGGTATACACAGATTCAATGATTTTTCGATATGTGATATGAAATATATTGCCGAAATTACAGTGGCACCGTATATTTTTAACCACTTTATTTGATGAACACACTATATCAGTGGTAAAATACTTTGAATTTTCCTATCTTTAAAAACTGCAAATTTTCTTTCAGCATTTGTAGGCAACAACTCAATAAAAATAGTGCACACATAATTCTTGCTTAAAACAAACCGGTCAAACTTTGTTTTCTAATAATACTCTACTAATTCATCGATTTATGAGTGTTTCATCGAACACGGAAGTTTGTTTTTATTTCTAAGGCTTCTAGGGAAGCTTATTGAAGTAAACTGGTGTCCTAACAAGGCAATCAAAGTTGCAAGCACTGTTTAGTTTAGTATTTTTAATGGTTGCTCTTGAGATATTGAACCGCTTCAATTGAATTGATATTAGATTGCCTCTGAATAACTATGTGTAGTTATTAACTATTATAGTCTGATTTTTTACCAAAGTACGTTGATTAAACTATTTTTGCAGCTTTTAATTAAGTATTCATTTGTGCTCCTTACCAAAAATATTGTGTGTCCATAGGGCACTTCTGGTCGTGTTAATACTCATTCTTATTAAACAACTTGATTTTTAGTTATAGATATCAATTTTTATAAGACTGCATCTTTTTTACTATCTATATATTTTGTAGTAAATTTGTTATTGCGTTTATATATTGTACTAGCTTAAATGTATAGATTGTCCAACATGTAATTCTTAATGTATAATTAAATTTGATGTATCATATTGCCAGTATTTTATTAATTAGGTAATTTGGTGATGCAATATTTAATAATAATAGCCTGTGTCTTTGACTACCTAGAGTTTCCAGTTATATTTTCGTCGTTTTCGGTATTTTGTTGTCAATATTTGCTGTCTTGTTATTACACTCTTGAACTCGCATTAGACTCTGCTATTCTACTATATCACCGCTGTTCTTAATCTTGACATTTAAGCTTTAATTGCTTATTTACTCATGATTAAATGCACGTTTGCTTTATCCAGTTCTTTGTAGCCTATACTGCGTGTCAATTTTCCTAGAAGCCTTGATTATCAGGGAAGAAGGAGTAGCGATCAATGGGTATTTAAACAGCATGCGATTTGCCGATTATACTATCATTAAAACAGACAACCTGAATGATCTACAAACACTTTTGCAAAGATTAAACAATGCATGAGTTATATTTTGGACTTTTGAATTTTCCTTTTTAAAAACTTTATTTTCACAAATACAATACTTCCTTTAGCTCTGACTTCTCTGACTACCATAATTATGCGTTTAGCAAGTATATATACGTTACAGAATGCAAGTTAGCTTAAATTATGATAGTCCGGGCAGTTTAGAGGTTTAAGCGTCACATAACTCCTCCCCTCGAAGATTCAACTTCATGGTTGCTTCAGTTTAAGGATGAAGTTGGACGTTGTGGAGTTCTATTACTTTGTCCTTTTTCCTGTGGAGAAGGCAGCGTCTCTGCTTGTACGCCCAGGCTACTAGTACAAGAATAATTATCAGATAGAGTATAATTGTCCAGACACTTGGGGTTTTCACAATGTCGGACTCTAGGAACACATCATTGTCATTGATGGCGGCTTTGAGCTGGTAGAGTTCGTCGAGCTTTATCTCTTGTAGGTGGAGGTCCGCGTCAAGGGTTGGCAGGAACTTCACATCACTATTAAAGTCTGGAAACAGTATCGGGTTTTTA